TAGTTCCTTTTTAATTATATTATTTTACTCCATTTTTGTCTACTTGTAGAAGCGGTAGTTCATCATTTTTGTTTCGAATTATGCAAGTGGCATTTTTTCATACGCACTTGAAGCATTTGCGCGTTTGCTTGCTCGCCAAACCTTCACAGTGCTATTGCATTAATAGAAAAAATAGTAAGTTATGTGGAAAAATGTAAAGAACACGCAAATAAACAATTAATCAGGGAACCGTGGTGCGCCTGGCAATTGTATTTGTGGACATCCTACTACTATCGAGCTTGGCATTGGATTTAAACGTTAGCTGCGATGGATATTTACGTAATTGAGATTTCTGCACATTTCGTTGTGAACCATACGAAATGTGTTATAAATGGGAAATGGAAGGAGACGAAACACAGTGGGGGCTGACGAAAGGAAAAACAGTTAGCAGTGAAGTGGTGATACATATTTCATTAAACACTGAGCGAATGAATCTCCATGCGCCATAATTTTTCTTGTGTTTGCCCATTCTATAGGAACATGGATCATAGGAGCAATATTATTGGTAATTTCTTGGGTTCACTTTTAAAAATTCGATGTATTCTATTTTTGAGCATACCATACTCCTTTCTCATTTGAGAAAAACGGCGTCCTTCTTCCCTTCTGAAGAGTTTTTTCTTATTTTCTTTTGTAAAAAGAGTTCAAGTTTTGTTAAAAGAAGACAAAGGGGTAGGTTTTACGAGTTATTCATTGTATAGTACTGCGTAACAATTTATGAAGCTTTTGCGATAGTCCTTCATAGGAAAGAGGGTGATAAACTGGAGGCCCCTTAACGAATAAATAATATGACTTCTAAAAATGTGTTCCCGATGGAGATCCCCGAATGTATATCATTCGATTCTCATTCAGTGTAGACCCCCTTTGAATTCCCCTACAACTCATTCTTACCTCTTTCCTTAGCTACTCTCTGAGGTTCTTTTAATGCTAGTGTGCTTTTTATGGACATACTTTGGGACAATTCAGGTGTGTGCAATCGAATGGTAACTGCCGATCCTTATGTACATGTATAAATATGTACTCTTACTGTGATCTATTTCTTCACTTGAACCCTTTTTCTTTTTTTTCCTTGCACATCGAAGATTAACAAAGCCAGTGCCTGTCAGAAGAGTGCTCCTTATTTATTTTGGGCAGTGTTTACCTTAGTTACTACCATTTGGTAAGAAAAGGAAGAGTCTGCCATGTGCACATATAAAGTATTAGCCTCATCGGTATAGAGATATCTATGTGAAAAATTGATTTTATCATTTTTTTTATTTTTTTTTCCCTTTTTGGTTCCTTTTCCCACCATTTAGGTGTTCCATCGTAGGACTAATTTTAAGCCTGATGATTATAACAATAGTAGGGGAAGAAGAAGAAAAAGAAAAAAAAAAAAACATACCGCTAAGTAGGGGAAATATGGAGAAGACCTGTTTATTTTCTTCAAAAGAAGCTTTTCAATGATAAAAGAAAAAAAACATAGCAACTGAAAAATATACATGAGGAATATATTGTATGCCTAATTAAATTTTAAGCAGAAAAAGAGATTTTTTTTCTCCCAATCTATGTAACACAAATTACAGTAACAATTTAAAATTTTTCTTAGGGCTCCTTTTTTGTTGTTCGATCGAAGGTAGGATAAAATGTAATTCTTTTTTCTTTAATAATTTTGGAACTTTGCACATTTCGAAGGAGAATAGAGCAGAGGAAAACAAAAGGGAAGAAAAACGCATAGCATTCTTTTAAAGTTACTTTTTTTATGCTTTTTTTTTTCTTTTTTTTTAATTTTTTTTTCTTATTCTTTCTGTTTTGTTGTATATTCCTAGTTAAATTTTATAAAATTAAAATTTAGTTAGAGGACCTGGCGTAGTTATGTTTGTGCATGTATACGCACGCAAGGACGTAAATATATGTACACGTAAATTGCAGCGGGGCCGAAATGTTATTCAAAGGAGCATAAAATTAGATATGCATAAATTTATATAGACAATGATACGCACAGTGTACCCGGGGAAAATCGCCACCAGACTTCATGGTAATTCATATTTTTTCGAAATTTTTCATGGAACAAAAGAAAGGAATTACTCTCTCCTTAGTAAAGTGATAGTTTTTTTAGTTATTCTGTAAATTTTGCACAACGTTGAAAAAAACGAATTGTGGCTACGTTAAATGGAAAAAAAGAGGCGGGAAGAAAAATGTAAAAACGACGATTTTGAAAATGTTTTACCCTCATAAGATTCAGAATTTGTTAACTTTAGCACAACTAAGTGTTTATAAGAAAGGTAGACGAGATAAAACAATGCAGGAATTTCCCACAGCGTTAAAAAAAGGAATTTAGTAGAATTCAGGAAAATGGCGATTCCTTCTGATCTGCGTCTGCTATCAGAACGAAGTTATTTTGTTTTCGCGAATTTGCGTACAGCGCGGACATAGATATATAAATATATAGATAACTTACACTTATGTGCATTTATGTATAAGCACAGCTGGGTGGGGCCAGTGTGGAGTCAAAACAACGGAATATAAAAATGGTTTTTGCAGGATTTACTTAATAACTGTCCTCCGTTGGCCATTTTATACAGACTCAATGATGATTCATAATATGCATTATCATAAGATACGAAAAATCACATACGGCGTTCTTCCAAATAGCTCATAAATATAAATTTTTCCTAAAAACACAACTCAAGAAAAGTGGTTTATTCCATTTTCTCAAATTCGCCAACACTTCATCGCTAATTTAAGAATAGTGCAACACAATGCAGGGAAAGAATATATAAAAGAAAGGGCGAATAAATTACAGGGGAAGGAGAAATTTTAACTGAGCGATTTTGTTATAAAATTTGGTATATTCGAAATAACAGTTTCCAAAAAACAATATAATTGCGGGTACATATTTGCTTCAACTATAAAAAAAAAGAAAAAAAAAAACGATATTTTAGGATTCATCTTAAAATTGCTTTTATATTTTTTAAATGGTGTTGTTCGCAAAAGTTTTAATCTTCCGAGGTTAGGATAAGCAAAGAAATGTTCTCCATTTGATAAAAGTTTTTTTTTTTTTTTTTTTTCTTTAAAGGCATAAATTTATATTATTTTGCTAACACAAAATAAGGTTTTATAGATTTTTATTTTGAGAAAAACACAACTGTTAGCCCCTTCTTGCTTGGTATATTACATTACCACCATTGATAATGAAATTTTTCTTAATTTTTCTTTTATTCAAAACGTTAAAAAAATTGTAGATATAATATATATAATTTTAACATAGTGTACATTTGATTCATAATGTATATATCGAATTATTTTAGATATGTTTATGTCATCGAAAAATTGTATATCCAACAAGAGAACAATGTGACCAATTTTTACTTGTTATATACGTACATTATCATAAATATATACACACATATACATATTATGTACATATATATATAATATATATATACAGTACGTGTTTCTTTGAAAAGATATAGTTCTTTGTTTCTCGCGCACAAATGTCGCTTTAGAAAAGAGCGAAATGAACAAAAAAAAAACCACATTATTGTATAATATCTTAATACCTATAATTCTTCTATATGCGACTCATGAAGAAATACTGCCATAAAATTTCGCAAGAAAATTTAAAAAACGTTAAATGTCCATATAGTAATAATAATATATGAATGACAGCAAAGTATATGTACTACAATTTTGTTACTTTTATCTTATATAATATTATTTTTCCTATTTTTTTATAAATCCAAATGGCTAATGATCAGATTTGATGAACTTTGCAACTTTTATAACCAAGATGTTAGCGTTCTTTTGAACTTCTTTTGATTTGCTTGATTACCATTTTTTATTTTATTTTTTCTTCCTTTTTTGTTTCTTATTACGAATTATAACGCACAGTTTTTGAAAGTTGCCAATGGTAGTAACCATTTCGAAAAGTTAGCAATTGCGCGCAGTATATATATGTATATGCTCACGTATTTATATATATGTATACGTATGTATATATATGTATATATATGTATATATATGTACAATTTTTTTGGTAAAAGTGGAGCATTATGAAGCGTATTAAAACAGTCCTCTAGATTTTTGTTAATAATTATTTCTAATACCATGAATTATTTGAAAGTGTTGATTTGTGTAATAATTTTGCTCTTTCTTTACGCCCAAGAATTAAATGCATCGCGAGGAAAGGAGATAATTGTGCTGCCAGATTACGGTAAATAAATTTAAATTAAAGATATGTAAAATGTAGTGCATTCCTTGTTCGGTTAAAAATGAGGAAAAATGTTGTTATAGTGTACTGTTTTGTCTTTGAGCATTATAGGCGTATTGCTTGTTTTGTCAGCTTTAGCCGTTTAACCATTCTTGCCATCTTTCCGTTCAAACAGTTGCTTTCTGTTGGAAAAGCGAACAAAAGAAAAATTACATCCTCGTTTATCTCATTTTTTTTCTTTTCACTGTTTTCATATTTTTTTTCCTTGCCTCCCCTTTTTCCCCTTGTAGATGACCTTTTTTGGCGAAATGGTCTGTACAAGATAATTCTACCACATGAATATGTAGACAATAACAATTTGGACGAATCCCTTTTGCGCATGATTAAAATTACAAGGAACAAATTTAAAAAAATAAAAAAATCCAAAACAAGACTTCGAGATAATTGCTACCATTTGGGCCTGCACCTTGGCTTGCGTATTTTACACCATCTTACAGTTTTAAGCCTTCGAATGATGAATCTGCACATGAAGAAGCAAGCCAGGCGTAGGAGTAAGGCGAAGAATAAAAATTTACCTCCACATTAAGTGCTACTATGTCAATTTATATGATGGATCAGATATATTTAGTTGAGTAATTTAATTTTTTCCTTTCGGTTTTTATGTCATTTTGTCCCATTTATTCCCTCATTATCCCATTTTGGACCCATCTTTGCCCTACTTCTCACCGCCTCTTTCACCTCCTCTTTTTCTTGTTTTTTTGTACGTTTTTAAGTGTTAAATTATACATATAGTGTGTATATTTACACGTTTTCATTACTATATTTGTCTCGAAATTTCCCTATTTTTCGGTGTGTAATATGTAGACATTAGAATATTACATTTGTGTGTCATTTCAAGTTTACTTGAACTTGGAAATTATTTGGACATATTTTAAATATATTTACCTTTTACCTCGTCCTATGTATAATTAACAGAAGGTTGTTTATGAATATACATAATTTGATTAGCATCAACTGAAGAAATCATTTTTAAAATAACATATTTACCTGTTTATGGAGTTATAGATAACAGACGCAAAAAATGTGCTTTATATAACGTGCATATTTATGCACATGCGATGTGTGATCGTGCAAAAACTGTGTTTAGCGAGAAGACCTTTGGGAATTTTTTTCCCAAACGTTTTTATATAACGGGCAGGGGGAGCGTAAACTATGTTTCTCTTCTAACAGCATGAAGATGTAAATATATAAATATGTAAAAAGGTACATTGCGAGAAACATTCAGGGGCTCCTTTGGAAACAATGCATATATAGGAACGATCCCACTTTGGAGCTTTTACCACCCGTTTAATATATCCATTTACAATTTTAAACATTTGCAGAGGACTCGCAAGTTGACATATAAACAAAAATGCTGTTGTTTGATCGAATAGCAACTACCAGGGAAAATATTCAGATGGAAAAATTCATAAACACATAGCTGTGCATTACATATATATCTATAATCTGCAAGCGCGGAAAGTAATTAACATGGCGAATGGAACGGTACGTATGCATTAAAGGCTTCACTTCTGATGATCCTTTGAGAAAAAAAAAACTGTTTTATAATTAACTTTTTTAAAAGAATGTGTTGCGACATAATAATTTAAGGGGTGTTTTATTTTTTCTTTCTCACATTTAAGGAATTTCGCTTAGTGAGTTATAGGCCTATATCTATTTGTAATATGTTGCGGAAGTTGCTTTCGATCTGGGAAGCCACCAAAGGAGTTTTAATTCCCCCGCAATATATATATATATACGTATATATATTTTGTTTTGTTTTGCGAATGCTACAAAAACGACTTGAAAAAATAGCAAAATATAGGAGAATAAAATCACAATAAGAAAAAATGAACGTTTTTCCATGAAAAAATAAAATAAAAAAACACATTAAATGCTGTAACTCGCGCCAAGGTGAGTTCGAATAATTTTGCATGTGAATTGGATTCAAACTGAGGAAACAGAATATTTTAAAATTCTACGTTTTTTACCAAAAAATAACAATTACGAAAAGGAAAAGCGTAAAAAGGGGCGGCACAAAAGGGTGTTAAGAAAAAAGCGTAAACAACGCCAATAGAGAGTCTAAAATTGAAAGAGAGCTTGGATGTATTGAATACTCTAATGTAGCCTATATATGAACAAATATATGTGGGGAAGTACACCCAAACCTGCTTGACATGAACGCAATTCGCGAATAGGTTAATATATTTATGCGTAAAGAATTAATTAATTCTGATGTATTATCACACATGTAGGCGACGCATAAATGTTTTCCATAGCTATGATATTATGGGGAATATGTTTAAGCATGTTTACTTTTTACTGTGTTCTATTTAACGCTCACTTTAATAGTCCCAAGGACAGGGATCGGGCCGCATCTTATTATTCTCATGTAACATCAATGAATTAAGCAGATATATTTTATTCCAGCATGGATCGATGTGCATACATATGTATTTACAGATGTATGACACATGGAAAAGCATAGGAGCGCCCCAATTCATTTGCTTCCTTAACACTTTGCTGTGTGTAATTTAATGTGAAGTTATACTTTTTCCTTTGTTCGCTATAACTGCTTTGTATAGCACATTATAAGAATAAGAAGAAAAAAAAAAAAACATGTTAGCAAAATTTTCTTGTATAATTTTCAATGGAGAGCATAGGTTAGGCAATTTTAACTTTACCAAATGGTGAATACTGTGTCTTTCGTTAAAAATTAGGACATGATTAAGATATACAAAATCGGAAATTATCTTTGTGACATGCTTGTTTACACTTCTCTATGTGCATGAACAATTTTTATTGCATAAAAGGGAGTCATACGAAAGAATAGACCGAGTCGTAATAAAAATAAAGAAAGGTTAAATTAATGGGCAGATAATTCAGTTTTTGCAGCAATGTGTCCTACAAAACGTGTCCCCTTCTTATAAACCCTTGTTTTCATTTTTTGTTAACTCATTTGGTTATGCCTCAAATTTGCAACCGTCAATTTCGCTTTTTTTTAAATATAAGCTACATTTTTAAGGATGTTCCTTCAAGAAATGGGTGTGTGTACTTCTGCAACATTTTGTTTTTTGTCCCTTAACCAAGATGTAAAAACACATATGCATGTGTAACATGCTATTCTGTATAGAGTGGCTTAAAGTGAAAATTTCGTCATTTGAGTATGTTATGCGTGGATTTTAGTGTTTCATTCAGTAGTTGTAACAAAATGCAGGAAAGGGGGTAATGATCAAGTCGTTATGCAAGTCTGCAGTGGTGAGGCTTAAAAGAGCATTTCCTCCTTTGTTCTGTGGTATTCATTTTTTTGCCCTCCCTTCACAGGCCACTAAATACATGCAGAAAAAATTTTAATTTGGATGCAAAACTGGCATGTTAAAGCGGCCGATATGCTTATATTTTGTTTACGTGCATTACATGCGTTAAGTGTGTTGTGTGAATTATGCATGTATCGTGAATGGCGAGGGTTAAACACTTGATGCATACAATAGGAGTTATTACAATGTTGTTTCGTTATGTGGCTTTTCATCTCATCTAAATCATTGAATGCACAATAAATTTATTGTGAGATGTAATCAAGCATAATTGCGCATTGATGCAAATTAATAAAGTGGCAGATTTATTCTTATGCATTATGCATAGGGCTCTTACAGTGAATGTGTAATGGGTACATATTAGCCAGTACATGAAAGAAAAAAACATGCACAAGTTGATATTTCAAACAAAAGAGGGGAGAGAAATATTATCTCCTTCTTTTTCGCCACAGCATATATATATTTATATATACATTTGTGCCACATATTTTTTTTTCTGTACTTTTGGAAAATTGCCACATTTGCTATAAATTGAGTATATATCCAGGTAGACGCGCATATATACTATATATATGCATGTTGATTTTTTATTTTTTATGTGAATTTGGAAATTTTTCCTTTTTTTTTTTTTTTTTGCCTATAAATAAAAAAATCCATTTAAAGTGACAACTAAAATGAACATTTCCAAAATATTTACCTTTTTTTTTTTGTTATGTGCGACTGAAAAGTTATTAATTGTGTGCAATAGTGGGATCCTATTGTCAAATCAAAATGATTTAGCGCCGTTAAAAGATGTCGATGAAACGTTGGCAGCAAAAAATAGGAAAAAAAAAATTTATTACTCTTTAATATCCTCTGGCATATTTGTCTTTCTTGCCATAGCACTGGGAATTGGGTTTTATATGAAGGAAAAAGAAGAAGAGTATTATTTTCAAAAATATGCCCTCTTCAAGGATAAACGATTTGAGTTTGAAGATCCAAGAGATGGACAAATGCCAAGTACCAGCAGAGAATATGTGGAGCCAGCAGGAAGAAATAAAGTGAATATAGAAGGACCACTAGTCGAAAACACAAACGAAAATGATGTTCCTATAAAAAAATTTAATATCTTTTTGGACAATGCAAGGATAGCTACGCGGCATCATTTTAGTAATTTATCAACGCCACAACAGGAGTATTATGTAAACAACCGGGATTATATAAGAAAGATTGTACAATGCATGGAGGAAAAAGCAGGTGTCCATCTGTCCAGGATGCAAGAAGACTTGGCAGTTTTGAACGTGGAGGATTTTATGCAGAAAATTTCGAAAGAGTAGTCACGATTATGCAGATAAATGGATGTATACGTGCGAATGTGTGAGGGTTGTAGCAGGGAGCCTTTTTTATATCTCGAAATGAGGAAGAAGTTATACCAATAACACGAAGTGATAACCGTTCCTTCGCGCTTTCTTTTTTTTGTGTTTTAGTGTACTCATTTTTATGTGCAGCGTCTGCTCTGTATATGAGCTGCACGAAAATTTTGAATAATTGGCCCAGGGAAAACGGCGTAAATATGAAGTAATGACGAATGCGATAAATAAATGAGAAGCAGGGAATCAGAAATTGTGGTGGCCATCTTACTCCTCTTACGGGCGGAGAAGTGTTATGCGCACAGTGAAATCAGAAGATGTCGGCCGGGTTGAAGTTTCTGCGTGAAGGAAAAAGGGGGCGAAGACGAGCCTGGACATATGAGTTAGAGTTATTCAGTCCTGTTCAGCATGCGTCGTTTATGCCGTTCACACATCACACATAAATAAATATGTACGTGTTTGCGTTTGTAAGCCAAGGGGCGCACGCCAAATTGAAGGATGACGCCAATATGCCTTGTTCTCCAGAGTGGTATATAGTACCAAAACAGGCGCCGGTCACTAATCAGGATTTGTGGGAAGGGTCTTTTGCAGAGGATGACATGCGTATACTGCGCAAATGAAAAAAGTAAATGCCTCTTAAAATGTTATTTCTTTCTTCATGTTCTACATTTTCCACGTGCACGAATTGCAACACGTGTTGTATATAATTGTGTTCAATTAATTTTTTTTGTGCATATTTTTAAAAATTTAATAAATTAAGGAACATAAAATTTGCCTTTCATTTTATGATAATTTAAACTGTGTACAAATACGTAAACATAACTCTATGTATGTTACACTTGTTCGCAAATTAATTTTACCCTTGTGCATCTAATATATATGCG